TTAATTGCTTTGATCCCCGAGTTCAAGGGCTTATATGCATCAATTACAGTTTAGGGGCTTAATAGCGATTCTGGGGTTGGTTCAGGGGCTTAACTTATGGTTTTGCCAATCTAAAATAACATAGGCATCAAAATACGGCACATGCCGATGTGATGGGTTTTGAAAAGGCAAAACATGCAGATTAGCCTCTCAACTCGCCTAGTGATGGCAAATCAGCCCCTCAAGTCAGTTCATACACAAATAAACCCCTCAACTTATTTTCAATGGCAAATCAACCCCTTTGATTAACATGACATCATCAATCCGTTAAAACTTAATGTTCCACTCATCACACCCTGCTTTGTGTCTAACCTAGATTTTTCTTTGCTAAGATGGATGCTTCGCTAGACAAATTATGATTAGTGTTATTATTTACTTTTATGCCCTTAATTGTTTGGTCAAATATAATTGGGGATCTAAGGTTTTTTTTCGATTGCAACCTTTTATTGTCTTTTTCCTATCTTTTTTTTGTCTTCTTCCTGCCTTCTTGGCTTCTCTCTCTCATCTTACAAACGTAGACACCCTTTCCCTCTTTCTCTTTTCTGATTTCTCGCTTTTCTATTTCGATATTTTCCTTTTATCATTGTTTTCTTCATCTCAAAAAACCATTTGCCATAGAACCAGAAGCAATAGCAATGTTGTTTTCAGATTTTGAGTCGTTAGCTCATGACGAAAGTGGAGACTACAAGTTTTTCTGTTAATATAGTTGGGATCGTAAGTACTTTCTTTTTGAAATCTCTTCTTTTTTGCCCATTGGGTTGAAGTTTTATGATCTACTAGTTGCTCAGGTTTCCTCAATTTTTTTCCTTAAGCTCTCATTCATAAAAATAAGTGATATTTTTGTACACTAATGATGTTGACTATGTTACAATTTGTCCAGCTAAGCATCCAACAAAGCATCCATCTTAGCAAAAAAAAAATCCAAATTAGACGCAAAGCAAGGTGTGCTGAGTGGAATGTTAAGTTTTAATAGATTGATGATGCCATGTTACATAGAGGGGTTGATTTGTCACCGAAGACCAATTGAGGGGTTCAATTGCTCGTAAACTAACTTGAGGGGCTGATTTACCACTATTTGGTGAGTTGAGGGGCTAATTTGCATGTTTTGCCTTTTCAAAATTGGGATAGAGGAGGTCTAGAGGGCCTGAAGTCCTTTTCAATATTATTAATCAGTTTATGAAACTTCACGTGAGCCTCTCGAGACTTGACTTTGGGCAATTAAGGATGTTGAACCTAACTTGTAGGTAAATTAAATAAGACATTGACATAGGTACATTTTAGTTGAATAGATTATACAATATATTATTTAAAAATTATTATTTTTTAATTTAAAAATATCATCATACAC